ATTAGTGATAATGTTAATAATGTTTATGTATTAGTAATAATGTTAATTTTTCAGCTCAACCAACAACAGTAAAATCCTGCTTTTACATGACTGCTTGAGTAATAATCTTATGATGGAATATCTAATCCTTTAACGTGTTACTGAGTATACTGAAGGCACAGTACTGTATTCATTGTTGTACTGGTACTTACGTACAGGCTGATATTGGCGTTGTGTGGTGCGGAGGCCGCTCCCTGAGTGTGTGTGAGTGCAGCGAGGCTCGGCTGCAGTCGGGAGATGAAGTTACTGTGAATCCATGAGCGAGTGTAAACCGATCCATCCTCACCCAACCGCCGGCATAGCCCACGATCCGCAGCGCGTCTGGAGGCCTTCGCTCCTCAGGTCTGAGTCCGCTCTGCTGCAGGAGTTTACATTCCTGCTGTTGAACATGAGACGCTCTGTGTCACCGCTTATTAGAAGAAGAACTCTGATTGTGTTGTGATGTTTACCTGCGTGTGGAAACAGAAGATATACTGTAGAGTCAACCGTACTGTTGATTCCTGCATCTCTTCACGATCAACTTGTTTTCTGTATTTATTGGAAAAGTATTCAGTTTGGCATCTTCATCACGTATATTATTATTTTTCTGATTATGAGTGTTTTTAGAAGCCGTGAGACTAAACTACACCTGTACGTCTCCACTCATTGAGAGAACATGTGACCAATAGAACCCTAACACTTAGGACTGAATCCATCAGTCTGTTGATTGATGATGAATCTTTCAGTCGATAAAAGGTTTGAGAACATTTACCCAGAGTTCCAGTTGTTTTTAATAATCCTCACATTAGAGACACTGGAACACGTCTCTTTAATAAATGATCGACACAATAAACTAATGAGTAATAAACACTCGTCTTCAGAAATAATGTGCGTTACAGAGCTGCGTCTGTTCATTATCTTCACGAATACTTGTTTAAAATGTCCAAAATATTGAAAATAGATTCAGTTTATTTTTCAAAGAGGAATAATTTAATCAGCAAATATTCACATTTAAGAAGCAGAAACCAGTTAAATTACTTCAACGAATTCTCAACAGTAAAAATATAAATACATTGATTTACTTCTTCAGAGTAATACAATGTAAAAGTACAACAAAGAGCAGCTGTCATGATGTTTATGTTCGAGGTGATTTGGATTTGAAGAGATTTATCGGAGACAAAATACAAAAACACTCCAAAACATTGCTGATTAGTTTCCTGTTGATCAATGAATCCTTTCAGCTCAAGAAGAGAATAAAGAATAAATACAATCTACAGCTGGAAAATGTTCACATGAAATTCAAAACAGCCGCTGAAGAAGCCGAGCGTTTTACGACCTCGCTCCTCTCAATGAGGTCGTGCAGGCCGAGGTCACGCCTACGGGTCAGAGGTCACGCCCCCCCCCCCCCCCACAGTCCCAGCTGACGCACCTCGTAAACATCCTGAACGCTGACATCTTCCTCCGACTGTGGCCACGATCATCTCGCTCAGTTTGCTCATAACAGAGAGTTATCTAAACAATTCATTAATTATTGTTTCTGTATAAATCAGTTCAACCTTCTGAACCTCAAGCAGCATTTTACTACAAAATAAAAGTCCTGCTCCTCGATGGAAACAGAACTAGAACACATCTTTAACTTAATCATTAGGTAAACAATGAAATCTA